TTTCAATGACTATTTACATTATTTAATTATAGTAATAATCATGTCTCTAGTTAGAAAATGCCTACAGCATAACTTGTATTAGCAAGAAAGCATCTGGAATGGAGTGATTAACCGTGAGCCATCACTTCAGCTACACTTTTGATGCAATATCATATAGAGCAGTATTATTAAGTACAACTATAACATGAGCCACATATGTAATTTTATTTTCTAGTAGCTACATTTTTAAAGTTTTTAAAAAGGTAAAATTAATTTTAATAATCGAGTGTGTTTAACCCAACATGTCCAAAGCATTATCACTTCAACATGTAATAAATATTTAAAATTAGTAATGAGATATTTTCCATTCATACCAAGTCTTCCAAATCTGGGATGTATTGTAGAAATATGGTACATCTTAGTTTGGACATTAAATTTTCATTGGGAATACTTGATCTGTATTTAGATTTCATAAAATTTACAGTTGATTTATATACCGGAATTGTTCCAAACATACAAAGTTTTTTTTAATAACTGAATCGGATATCTATTTTAAAATCTAAAATAATCAAAATTAAATACAATTTAAAATTTCAATTCCTCACTTTCACTGTTCATATTTCAAGTGCTCAGTAACCACATGTGGTGACCCATTGCCACCGAGTCGATTCCGATTCATAGTGATCCTATAGGACTGAGTAGAAATTGCCCCATAGGGTTTCCAGGGAGTAGCTGGTGGATTTGAACTGCCGACCTTTTGGTTAGCAGCCAAGCTCTTATGTATTGGACAGCATAGGGGTAGAACATAGATGACAGCCGAAGATTTCAGTGACGTGACCCCTAGTCAGGGTGATTATTTTAGCTACATTTTAAGGTGAGATAAAGGCTATAAATCAGCAAACATTATTTTAAATTATATAGACAACATTTTAAGTGAAGTTTATGTCTGAGTTTCATATGGTCTGCACCATTTTCAGAAAACAGTTTGGAGATAATTGCAAAGTAACAGACTGGTTGAGATGCTATTAATTCCTAGAAACTGCCTTCTAGCATATTGCTGTGGTCAACACATTCGTAGGGGTATGAAATCAACCTAACTTGCCTTGATTAGCACTTAAAAAATATGAAATAGTATTGTATAGAGTGCTTCACATGTGTTAAGTTTCGTGAAACCGTTGTTTCAGAACAAAACATCTGAACATCTTTGTTACAGACATACATTTATTTTGTATATGCACGATCTCAATGAAAAATAAATTTCTTACTGTGAGTCACAATGCTTTTGAGAACTGCTTCTCTGAGGCATACTTTTCATTGCTAACACACAAGCAGTCCTTGACTTACAATGGGATTCTGTTCCAGTGACTCCATTGTAAATCGGTTTTGACTTAAGTTGAATACCTTTTTTTTTTTTTTTTTTAGTTTTCATTGTTATTGCCTTTCATTATCAGTATCTTTATAAATCTGATCTTTATTTGTCTTTGCGGGTTGGAAACATGACATACAAACTTGCAGATATATTTTCGTATGTACATACATTAAAAAAATACACAAATCATAAAAATTTACTCTGACGAAGAAGAGTTGGACAGTGTTGGCGTTTAGTCAGTTGGAAGGTTCTGGATCATCTGGATTATCTCTGGGAATGGAGATGGCATTTCTAGTCATAAAACTAGTGAGAGTTGTTTATATGGTCCTTTTCTTTTTTTCTTCATGTATTTCGTGGTAACATCTCATGCTTACTGAATCTGCCTGTCAACTTTAGCAAAGTGATTAGTGTTTGGGTCCATGTTTTCAAGCAACTGAAGCCCCTGATTTACTTTAGGAAAAACTCCAGCTTATTCTTTCACTGTAAAATTTTTTGATAACTTCTCTCCTTCCTCTTCCTCATTCTTTCTTTCTTCTTCAGCATTTCTTTCCTCTTCAGAATCCATTAAGTCCCGATCTGTCAGTTCCCCTTCTTCGTGGTCTATGAGCTGTTCCACATCGGCAATATCAAGTTCTAAATTCAGCTTTCTTGCCATATGGATGATATTTCCACTGATCTCTTCCATCATATCATCCTGATCAAATGCTTGGAGCATGTTCACATAACTCAGCAATTATTTCCACATCCCCTGCATGCATTTTCCCATAACTTCCTCCCAGGAAGATGCTATGTTCCAGATACACTGATGGTTGTTAAGTCTGGGTAACTTGAATACATCCTAAGTCAGGGACTACCTGTAGTGAATATTGCCTGCAGGTACATGTGTTTCAACAAGGGTACCATTAATCACAGAAAACAATAGATTTAGCAATGAGATATAAGTGATATTGGAGCATGTCTAGTGAGTAAAATAGTGAACTGTAAAGTGGTACGTAATCACCATAATGAACAGAATAACATAGGTGTTTGTTGCCTTTCTTCCTCAATTTTGAGCAATGAGTAGCCAAATTTGAACTTGAGGTATGTAGAATACTTTATTGGTTTGGTAACTGTCTTCCTTTAAATTTTGGTCTGACTATAAGTCACCAAATTTAAACTTGGGGTTTAATTTTAATTCTTAAGAAGAATCTTGGCTTCTTTCATAAGTAAAAATATATGGATTACAGAAAAATGGCACCCAGAATCACCTTAAAATACTTAAAACTAAAATAAATAATATATTTAATCATTCCTATGATTTTTTTAATTTTAGTAACATCTGATGTTTACTCTCAACAGACATCCATTATGATGTATCAAAAATGAAGTAAAATCATTCCTGAGATTGAGATTATGCTTTTGGTAAAATGTAGATTTCTTTTTGTTAGTCCGTTACTCTAAATTAATTACTTGTTTATTTAAAGCCTCTTCCTCAAAGTTTTGTGGTTATTCAAGCTTTGAATAAACGTCACTTGAAATGTTTGCTTGAAATTCTTCAACTGTACAGAGTCAACATGTGAGCTGAACGTATACAAGGTACGTATGTGGAATGCTGTTTTGCCACGAGAGGCTGGTTACTTGGGCAGCACTGACTATCATGCTTTTAAACGGCAAAATATGCTAGAATTAACTAAATATATAATATACAAATATATAATACACACACACACACACACACACACACACACACACACACACACACACACACACACGACTTAGGGCTCTCACAGACTGGAGAAACCCCAAGAGTATGGCCCCCGGATACCCTTTTAGCTCAGTAATGAAGTCACTCCTGAGGTTCACCCTTCAGCCAAAGATTAGACAGGTTCATAAAACAAAACAAGATTAAATGGGCACACCAGCCCAGGGGCAAGGACAAGAAGGCAGGAGAGAACAGAAAGCTGATAATAGAGAACCCAAGATCAAGAAGGAGAGAGTGTTGACATGTCGTGGGGTTGGCAACCAATGTCACAAAACAGTATGTGTACTAATTGTTTAATGAGAAGCTAGTTTATTCTGTAAACCTTCATCTAAAGTACAATTTAAAAAAAAACTGGAAAAAAAAATGCCAGAATCAGTGCTTTAAGCAGCGATTGCAATATGCCACTGTTTCTTTTGTGACAGTTGGTATAGATCTAGGGACTCTTACAGGATAGATGTATAGTTTAGATACAGCAAATAACTTTGAACGTGATCTAAATGGTACTTCTATCTCCCCCATCCCATGCAATGTTAGTATATATCTTAAAAATACCGTGTGCCAACTGGGCCTCTTTCTGCTTGTGATTTTCTCCTACCTAAGAGCCTTCCTATGGTGAGATATAGTGTGTCCTGGAAAATCAACCTATTGAAATGCTGTTGGTATGGCACTGGAGGGAAGACAAGAGGAGGAAGCAACAGAAGTAGTACTGTTTATATATAACTGTTTCCAAAAGCAGTGGGGCTATGCTGATTAGACATACCATTAAGAAAATTATCCTGTTGCTTAAATTAAGGTATTCTATCCCACTGAAATATGTTAGGAATGCAGACAAAAGCCAAATATTGTATAACAGGCCCCTTTACCTGTCAGAGTAGGGACAGGAGAGTAGATGGGAATCCATGTGCCTGATTTCTCTTCTTTCAGAGAGAAACAGTAGAAAATTGGTTCCCCAGGATTCTGACTTGCGCCCCTATGTGACAGAGTAGAACTGCCCCATAGGGATTCCTAGGCTGTAAATTTTACAGGAGCAGATCGCCTTGATGACACACAACAACAGTTCCTTTGTGTGTCTATTAAGTACAAGACCTCGGGCTAGACGTTGTGAAGAAGAATCTAGGACTTGTAGGTTTTCAAAAGGCTTAAATCTAGTTAGACACGTGCAAAAAAACAGAGTGCAGAGGAGGAGGACTCTATGAGGGGAACAGAGTACTTTAAGGACTACGGTATGTATGGGTCTTTGGGGACGAGGAAGTCACATTTTTAAGTGTATAAGAGGAATTTAGTGACAGTTCTAAAGTACTTTACAGGATTTATTTTTCAGAAGTAAAAAATATAATGAGAATATAGTATAAATACATGCTACTTGAATCCCTCCCATGCCTTTTTTCAGTTTATTAAAAAAGACTTTTTGTGTCTGTATTTGCAAATATTGCTGCTGTAAGGGCACAGGACTTATACAACTAGCTTTCACTTGTCTGATAAAAGTGCCTAGGGATAACATGAATGATTGATTTTAACAGATAACCTCATTTAACCAGTAATTTCTTTCATTAAGGCAGTGGTCCTAACCTGGATGCACATCAGAATCACATTGAGAATTTAAAAATACATGTATCAGTGCCTGAGCTCAGTCCCCAGAAATTCTGATTTAATGGGTCCAGGGAAGGATTTGGGCAAGCACCTCAGGTAATTCTAATAGGCAGCCAGGGTTGAGAACCATTGTATTCAAGAGAGAACCAGGTGAGGCTGAGGTAGGGTTGTGAGTGGGAAAAAATAAGTAGGAATGAGCTTCGGTCTTTTCCTTCTTTTCCCTACTTATAGTAAAACAGCCCATGAGAAGAAGAAAATCAAAGATCAGAGAATCCACAGAGTTTAGAAAATGAAGTAGCTTTTTTCTTTTTGTCATTGTAGACATGGAAGGACTTTAATGAAACTTGAAGGGTTCAACAAAGGATGCTCTAATGGATGACATCGGAACTCCTACATATAACCTGCAGATAGAGCCACAAGATGAGTGTCATCCTGTTGATAGTGTGGAAAGTACAGTAACACCCTTGCCTTCTGTGTCAGATGAAAATGAAAATCAACTTGATGGGGATAGGCCTGAGTGTCTGACTGGCAGTGACGGTGCAATGGGAAAACCTGAAGTGTTTGAACAAGACGGTCTCAACAATAATGAAAGCTGCACATCACACTTGGAGGTGGCTGCAAGTGAGAACTCGGAAAACACTCCTGGTGAAGGCCCCAAAGATGGACAGGCCTTCTTGGGAAAGGACAGAAAAATATCTGGAATAAAAAGCTCAAGAAGCAAAAAAGGCACTGCTAAGAAGATACTACCAGGTATTTTTAAGTAGTCGTTTATACTTTTTATTTTTTAATTAAAAATAAATCTCCTTCTCATCCTATCCTATGTACACTGTCCTGCACCTTGCTTTTTCTTTTCTTAATATATTCTGGAGCTAGTTGCACGATAGACATGTGTAGACACAATAGATCTGCATAGATACAATAGACTTACAGAGGCACATGTAGACACACAAGACACAATAGACCTGCATAGATACAATAGACTTACAGAGGCACATGTAGACACACATAGACACAATAGATACAAATAGACACAATAGACTTTCATAGGCATGCACAGATACAGTAGACACACATGTGGTGGTTTCCACAGTGTTCCATTGTATGGGTGTGCCATAATTTATTTAGCCACTTTCTTTATGGATGTTCTTAGTATTTTGCTGTAATAAATAGTGCCTCAATTGACATTTTATGTACATGATTTCACACCAAAACCCATAAAACCAAACCCATTGCCGTCGAGTTGATTCCGACTCATAGTGACCCTGTAAGGCAGAGTTTCCAAGGCTGTAATCTTTACTGAAGCAAACTGCCACATCTTTTGTGGAATGGCTGGTGGGTTCAAACTGCCTACCTTTCAGTTAGCAGCCAAGCGCTTAACCACTGCACCACCAGGGCTCCTTGTTTTTACATCAGGAATTTTGAATACATACAGTCTCCTTTCTTTATAAATTAAACCATTTTCTACCGATAGTAGCCTTAAAATATTCTTTCTATCATTACTGTAGCTTTGATCCTAACCTATGAGTTTGTTTTAGTACAATCTTCCTCAACATTAATATATATTAATATGTATCTTATGCCAATGTTGAGTAAAAAGTCTAGTTTTAAGTATATCATTTTGGTCACAAAATAACTTAGAGTATTTCTTATTCAGTATATAGTTTGATGTTAAAGTTTGGAGCCTTGGACTTATTTTTTTTTCCTGAATCACAAGGAAATTCTGGTTGATTTTAATCAGCAACTGTGGGACTAAAGCATTCTGCTACATCCTGGACTGGGGTTCCTTAGTGTGGTACCACTTTACCCATGCCAGCAGTCTTTGCATAAGCCTTAAGTGAATGAAGGGGAGTGTTTTCTCCCATTCTGCTCTTCTTTGTGTCTTTGGCTGATTAGAAATGTAATCAGTGTATCCATATCCTTATTTTTATTTGTATTTGTTTATTTGCAACACAATATGATTTCCAGTTTATACAAATTTAGTATTATTTACTCAGTGTCATGGATTGAATTTGGCACTGAGAAGTAGGGGTGCTGCTCTAACAGATACCGAAAATGTGGAAGCGGTTTTGGAATTGCATAATGGGTAGAGGCTGGAAGAGTTTTAAAGTGCCTAATAGTAAAAGCCTAGATTGCCTTGAAGAGACTGTTGGTAGAATTATGAACATCAAAGGCAATTCTGGTGAGGGCTCAGAAGGAAGTGAGGAGAGCTTCACAGAAAGTGTCCATTGTCTTAGAGAATACATATGGCACTAGCAACAGAATTTTGCTAGAAATGTGGACATAAGTTGTGCATCTGGTGAGATTTTAAAAGAAGATGATGAACATGTGATTGGACAATGGAGAAAGGGCGAAGCTTTTTATGCAGTGGCAAGGAACTTGTTCAAATTGTGTTCAAATGATTGATGGAAGGTAGAACTTGTAAGTGATGAACTTGAATATTTGGCTGATGAGATTTCTAAGCAAGATCAAAAAGGGCTGCATGGTTTCTCCTTGCTGTTTATGGTAAAATGTGAGAGAAAAGAGATGCACATAAAAATGAACTGTGGGATGGGAACTCTTATGCACTGCTGGTGGGAATGCAAAATGATACAACCATTTTGGAAAATGATATGGCGTTTCCTCAGAAAACTAGAAATAGACATAC